CTCGGCGCCGCTGGGTATAGTGCCGTGCCCCGAGGGAGAAGCAATCGATGCGGGGTTGGAGGGTTTCGAGGCAGGCGGGAAGATCAAGTGCCCGAGGTACGAGGAGGTGTGCACCATCGCCGCCAACGGCAGCAGCCTCGTTGTTCCGCGCGTGTTGAGTGGAGCCGAGCAGGCGAAGGGCGCGGCAGTTGAGCCGCCCGGTGCGGGGGCCCCTGCCGGGGCAGCGGGTGGAGATTCTCCCGGTCCGGAGGAGGCCACAGAGGCGGCGGCGGCAGCAGCTGCTGCGTCCCCCGATGTGCCTGCGCCGCCCACCCCGACGCCGGCGGCATCCGTCAACGGCAGCGCCGTGCAGAAGAAACTTGACGGGGCGGCGCGGCAACTCGGAAGCGACGCCGGTGCGGCTGCTGCGGCTGTTGGCTGCAGTCACTTTGTGCTGCTTGCCGTGGCCGCCGCCGCCGCGGTGACGACGCTGTCGCCTTGAGCCGCAGCAGGAACTGCGGCTGGGCGCCAACAAATTGCGGCGGGGGAGTAATGAATATACACACACACGCACCTGCGTGCCCCCGTGGAGCCCCGCACTCAGGCCGCAATGAAGCCGCAGTACTAATAATACGATGCGCACACTCACTGCGCTACCCTTGTTTGCTTTTTGAAGGGGTGAAAATAACAACTCTTGCTTTGCTTTGCTTTGCTTGTCTTGCCAGTGGCCGCAAAGCCGATATCTGTGTGTTGGGCGGACTTGCTTTGCGTGGAAACTGTGTGGGGGCACTAAATAAAAAATGTGTACGCAGAAGACAAATCCCGGCATCATATAAATATATATATACGCTCCTGGTGCTGGGGGCGGGCGAGAAGGGGAAGTCACTGCACTCTGAAGGGTGCGAGGACGGGTCGGTGACTGTTCCGCAGCGGAACAGGAGCGAATGCCTCTGCTGCCGCATTTCTTACACATGGGCTTTTTCGTTTTTCTTTGCTTCCTCTTGCTTTCTCTCTCTCTTCCTGGATTGGGCTGTGCGGGAGCAGAGAGGGAGAGAGAAGGGGTGTGTGTGTGCTGGTCATCTCACGTGTTGCTGCGCGTCCCCACTGCTCGGTGGACGCGCCCCCACGCTTCGGCTTCACTCCACGGGTTTGTTTGTTTTGTTTTGTTTTGTTTTGTGCGTTTGTTGCTTGACTGCACCCACTGCGCGGGCTGCTGAAGTGTGATGTGTATGCGTGTGCCACAACGTGTGGGTGGTGGCCCTCTCTCTCCCTCTCTCTCTCTTGCTGTGTGGCTGCGTGGACTCGTGTGTCTGTGCCTATTGTTTGTTTCTTTTCTCCCCCTCTCGTTTTCCTTTTGGCTGGTGTTGGGTGTTCAGCCGCAGCGCAAGCCAACGATAACTGCGAAGGAAGGAACTCATGTACTCAATGCCTGGGAGACGCGAGGAAGGAGTTCGCGCTGCCGCGGGGGCGCTCTGCATGTGCTGCGCCGCAGGGACGGCGTCGGTGGAGGTCGGGGCCCGCCGGCGGCACTCGGCAGCCCGCAGCGCAGCGCGGAAGGGCGGAGGAGGCACCGCCGCGGCCACAGTGAGCCGTTGAACGCAAGGCAGAGGGAGTGTGCGAGTTTGTGCTCAACGCGAAGTGGAGCCACGTCTTGGGGTTTCCTGCGGCTGAAGGGAGGGAGGGAAGTGGCGGTGCGGACGGCGGTGGAACGGGGCCACACACCCCAACGCAGTCGGGGGGCGTGCACGGTGCAGGGGACAACTCCTCCACTGCAGGACAGCGTTGCGCAGCTTCGTGCACCGCGTCCCATCCTGACGGGACTCGCCTCCGCGGAGGGCTGGCCGTGCCCGCTGAGGGAGGGAGAGTACATTGCCGGCTGCTGCGTTCACTCTGCGGTGGGGGCGGGTGTGGCGGGTTGTCAAGGGCGGTTGGGAGGGGGCGCGTTCGCACCAAAGGGCGAGAAGTGTTTGAGGTGAGGCGGCGTGCCGTGATTGGGGCGCCCGGGGATGGCGGCCTCGGTGGTGGACGAGTGCCGGCCCCCACCCCTCCACCGGCCTCTGCACCGCGATGAGTGCCCGCTCCACTTTGCTCTCTGCTGCCTCGGAGGCGAGTTGGCGGAAGTGTTCGACACGGCCACGCAAACGG